CTCTGTCTCTCTCTCCCCCCCCTCCTTTGTGGTATTGTGTAACAGGCTGGCGGATGTGAGCGAGCCCCACCTGCAGCTGCTGCACAGCGAGCGGTTTGAAGATGAACACGATCTTCTCTGCAAGGAACGACCTCTTTGTGTGTCTGTGTTCGGTATCATTCATTTACCTGCACTGAAGCACACAGCTGAGTCTGCTGCAGGCCTTTTAATCCATGAGTGGATCCTAAATGTGTGTAAGTGAGGAGAGGAAGGGATGAACAGTACAATATATCATATATTTTACACATTATATTCCTCAAATTCATCGATTAATTGCTGAAAAGCTTAATTTTCTACATGAAACTAAGTAAACAACAGTATTTGGGAGGTTTATTAGCTGCTCTGACAATAATTAATTACCCAAATCTGACATTTTTCTCATTAAAAATGTTCTTTTTTTTACATTTACAACACTGAACAACGTTTCCATGAAGCAATTGAGCCCTCAGTAATCAGATGTTCTGTCATGTAACTATATAACTGATTGATCGGTTCCAAAATGTCACGATAACGTAACGGTGTGATGGATGTGAAAACAATGTCATAAATATTATATCTGCAAGACATTAATATTAATGACGACACGTTTGTTTGCACGTGGAATAAATACATGTTTAAAATGTCTGCAGCACGAGGAAAAGCTTCTTCACTTCAAATTAAACTTGTTTACAGATAAATATACAGAACATATATACAATATATATTATATCTCACCTTTGTGGTACATATTACAAACAAATACATTAACAATTAACCAAATTACCACAAACAATTACCTCATTCTGCAGTGAACCTGGTGCCTCAGGGGCCCTTAAGGGTCTTACATCAGTTTATTATGAATATATGTTCTTTCTTACAGTAGCAGTGCTGTTCATGTCTTAACCAAGATCATATTTACACAAATGTTTATTAAAGCAAGGGTTTCCATCCAAATAGCATTAGCTTATTAGCTCTAAAAACATCCTTCCTTACTTTTATTTATGTAATCTTCAATAAAATGTTTATCGTTAGGTTCAATATTTCTGTTTTCCATCATAAGAACTGTTTGTCTGTTTGGTTTAAATCAGCTCATTAATTATTTGTTCTTTTTTAAAATAAAAGTGTTTATTTATGTGAATTGATGATAAAACAGTTCAAGCTTTTCACATTAAAACTGCAGTTTATTATCATATATATATATAATAGATTGAGTATACTCATAAACTATTTGTTCTTTTCAGTATTGAACCAGTTTCATGTAAGTTTTAATCTCTGCAAGGTAATTTTTAAAGTGCGCTGAATAGAGAAAAATGGATTTTGATACTTTAGGAGAGAATATTTTACAGTAAAGCAAAACCTTAAAGAACAATGCAGAAATAAATGTGTGTTATTAACTTTTGTCCTTTAAATATAGAGCATATTATAAAATAAGAGAATTTATGGGAGTGTATGTTACAATAACAGACTGGAGCTTGTTTGAGAAACACAAAGTTTCATCTAAATTGACCTTTTTCATTAGTTTGATGTTATTTTTCGTCTTTTACCCATCAGTACTAGCACATAGGAGGATGTCAAAGGTCAAAACTTGCTGCTAAAAGTCATAAATTTGACATTTATAAACGTAAATCTCTGATATTAATCTCACCTTGTGCAGGAGGACATTAATCCTCACTAATATGTGAACATATATTGAGTTTATCAGATTCAGAGCAATAGTTCAACGCCTGCAGAAGGGCTGAGTAATACCTGTTACCTTCCACTGATAAATGGTTCACAATGAGGAAGGGCAGTGGTGAAAATACGAGGAAAGGAAGAGGAAGCGGCCTCCAATTAACCAGAAAGACACAGAACGAAACAGAAAACTGGAGGTTTCTACAAAATAAAAGGAAATAGTGATGAACAGATTCAGAATATTTATATTACATTTGTATATTTATATTACATGTTTGCCAACAGAGCCTCCTACATGGGACACACTGGACCTTTGACCCATATAAAATGTAGAAATTATAATTTGTGGCTAACTGTGTTTGAACCAATTCGCCATTTTGTGTTGGACTGTTTTCCTGACTGTTGCCAGGCAACCCGCGGAGACTCCAGGAAGTTACCGGTCACAGCATAGAAACTGATGTTTTTATACCGTAAAAACACAAACAAGATATATTAATAATATTAGTTTGTTGGATTTAATCACGTTGGGCAGAGCCAGGCTAGATATCTCACCTGTTCTCAGTCATTATGCTAAGCTAAGCTAACTTAACCCTCTAGGCTGCTCGTCATAGGCTAATAGAGTTTTATTTTGAAATGGGAAAACCAAAATCGGGAAACGACCCATTTTCCTATTTTTTAATATATTTTTAAAAAACAAACAAACAAACAACCTGTTTTCCCACTGTTTGTTTTGTAAATAAAAACAGAATTCAAAATGATTTTATATTTTTTCTCATTTCAAAACGAACACTGACCACTATTACAATTATCTATCCAACTCTCCGCAAGAAAGCCAATAAGTATATTAAACTACTTTACTTTAAACACTTTTGAAACTTGCAGGCCCCCATAACACGCGGCAACAAGTGGGGTTTTATTTTGAAACCAGGGCGGAAGTGACATGTTAGTGTGTGTGCAGCTGGTCATAGAGGATGTTCATGTGTGCAGCATCAGAGCTGCAGATCCGACGACCGCAGAGACACACCGAGCTCACATATCTGCCGCCCTCAGTCGAGCTCAGCCAGCCAACAGAGCCGGAAGACCTTCTTCAACTCAAAACCAGGACTTTTATTTGTTTATGCAAACATTGCTGCTGCTCACAAATATGCTGCTGTGCTCACACTTTGGAAGGAGACGAGGCCAGCCTTAGAATAAACTGCAGCCCAAGAGAGGAGGGAAGGTGAGAGAGAAGCTGTGTTTTTATTAAATATCAGAAAAAAGTTTGTTTTAAAAATGAATCAAACATCAGACTTCCTTGTAAAAAAAAAGTATTCATTTAAGTATGAGTTCAGCTCTCTTCCTCTTTCTCTTTCTCTCCATTTCTCACTTCTCTTTCGTTCACCACATTCAACCAAATATTTACTGTAAGTTTTTTCCAATATGTAGTGTTTTGTAGTTAAATTAAGCCATTTAAGGACATTTCTGCTGCAACAACAGCACATTACACATAATAATTAGGATTTTAAACTATTTATAACCTGTTATATTTACACATACAGCATGCGGCAGTCCAGTTATACTTATATATATTGAGATAAACACAGGTTATATGTTCATTTCTTTGTTATTAATGTGCTTGTTTACTGTACCCTTCTGTTTAATTTGGGCTGGTTGTTCCTCAGCTGCATGTTTTTACACCCCTCACTTTTGGGGAAGTTGTTTTTAAAAGCTGTTCTCAAACTTCTGCCACGCTCCTCCTCGCAGGCAGAAACAAAAAAAGCTGCACCATTTTTTTTGCCAAATTCATGTGTAGGGGAACCAAAACTAATGATAAAAAGTAAAAAAAACTAAAGGTCTGAAGTAAACTTAAATCGCATGAATTCAACTTCAGTTTGAGAAAATCTGTCACAGTTTCTTTAGTTCTGAAAAATATGTTTAATTTTGTGTGTAAATCAGTCGAGATATAGACATCATGGTTAGAGGTCAGCGCTCTGTTTGGTCTTTGGTGAAGTGAGTGACCTCATGGCGAGACTTTCTCCTCTGCAGACATGCACACACCCTTCTGCAGCCTGCGGTGAAACATGTTGGGCCTCATATATGAAGATATTCTCTCTTATTTTATGTCCGTATATGTGATTTTGTCACTGGAATAAACGCACAAAAATACGGAAGTATCCAAAAGGTTTGGACAGTCAGAAGATTACAGACATGGATCTTTACAGATTATATTTAATACAGATATGACTGGATCCTTCCAGATAAAGGTCCTGTTTGTCCAGTCATGCTCTTATTTTGTTAAATTTCTCACCAATGTTTTCTAATTTTTTCAATTTCAGTTCAATTCAATTTCAACAAAAGTTATCTCAGGACACTTTTGAAATAGAGCAGATAAGCACTGTACTCTTTATTAAGTTATTTACAGAGACCCAACAGTTCCCACCATGAGCAAGCACTTGGCGGCAGCGGCAAGGAAAAAAAAAACCTTTTTTAGAGGCCGAAACCTCGAGCAGACCCCGACTCGAGGTGGGTTAGTCGTCTGCCTTGACCGGGTTAGAGAGGAAGGGAGGAGGTACAGAGAGAAAGACGGAGATGCATCATCAACAACAACAGTAACAACTATACAAGTACTACTTATAATAATAATGATGATGATTTAATGAGTGGTCGAGAGCGCTCTTAACATCTCGTGTTCACAGTCCACAAATGATCAAACTCAAGCAAACATAAGATTTAAATTGGAGGACCATAAAATAGGTAAAATATCATATAATCCGATTAGATTATATGTTTTTGAGTCATTATAGTGATTTTATTATTACATTCCTGGGTTAAAGAAACACTATTGCTCCACTGATCCTTAAAAAAATAAATAAAAACGCTTAAATAAATAACTCACAGCTATCTTATACTTTCACTTATTTTACCCTATCCATCCATCTGTTGCCTTTTTTGGTGACATCTCTCCGAATTCTTGGCCACATGTGTCAGAGTATTTGCACAACACCTGCCCTTATATGGTGTTTAGGGCGGCGTCACTTATGCCAGCAGCAACCAGCTACAGGCCTCCAGTTTCACATCCAGTGGGATTCATCGGTCAGTTCGTCTGCGTGAGAGCAGATTGTTTTAGTGTCGACTTCCCTCATATTTAAGAGAGTGTTAACGAGAGCACAGAAGGATGAGTTTGTCTGGCGTTAGTCACCTTTAAGTTAATTAATTACATTAATCTGACAGTTATTGTCTCACTTAAACATTCAGATGTTTAAGAAAAGTAGTTTAAAGTTCCCCACAGCCCAAAGGGGCATTTCAGTAGTTTGATAACTCAGCTTGTATCTTACTGGAGCTGAAACGATTAGTCAGTTAATTGATTAGTCGATTCAATAGAAATACACTCAGTAACTTTACCAAACTTTGCTTTTCTTTGTCACTTTTCAATATCAGTTAGATATGTTTGGCTATCAGACTTTTGGTCAGACAAAACAAGAAATTTGAAGACGTCAGCTCAGTGATCATACACTAAATGATTGATTGAATAATGGAAAAAATAATCTTCAGATGAATCAGTAACGACTAAATAATGAAAATAAAGTTCTATAAAAAGCGTTTCAGACGTCTATGAGGTGTTAGCAGCTCCACAAAAGGGAGATTTCCGCTCTAAACTTCTCACATGGTATGATTTAAATGTTCAAATTATCAAATATTTTACCTAAAAAAGCAAAAATCTGAAAAAGAATATCCTAAACATTTAAACAGATTTGTCTCATTAATCATCTCAGGACCCCTCAGATGTATCTTGTGACCACTTGGAGGGGCTCGACCCCCAGGTTAGGAACCACTGCACTGAGCTAGCTAACTGTATAAAACTAGCTCACAGTATAATATTCTAACACATAATAATCTATCAATCACATTTTTGATACTTTAAGTAGATTTTGGTGATAATACTTTTATTTGCAGGACTTTTGCTAATGTAATAGAGTATTTTTACTCTGTTGTATTCGTAATTTTACTTTACTTTATTTACTTAATTTTACTTAAAAAGGATCTGAGGCAGTTTGTTTTGTGATTCCTAAGACCGTTCTGCAGTCGTGATCGTGTTGTATTTGCATGTTTATTTATATGTTTTATGAAGTAGTTAAAGTAGCTCCACCTTAAACTACAGCAGTCAAGCAAGTAAAACAGTCACAGGGGACGTTTTACTGCAGAACGAGGACTTTTATTTTGGATATAAGTAGATTTTGTTGTTAATACTTATATTTGCTTGTAATAGAGTATTTTACATTGTTGTTTTAAAGGATCTGAAGTAGTTTACTAAGGATAGGTTTACAACTAAAACTGTAAAATACTGCTCACACATGAATGCATCAGTGAAATAATACAATACACTCACATTAAATGTAGCATATAATCTGTCACACACTTTTACTCAAGTAATATTTTCACTACTTCCTCCACAACTGATTCAAAGCTGGAGAACAGCAGTGGGATTGTTCTAGAAGAAGTAATCAAATAAACAGTTTCAGCTGCTTCTCTTCTCTTCTGTGTGGCAGCGTGCACGAAGGCCGCGCAGTTTACTGTATGATGCAGAATGAGAAACAAACCCCCCTGCAGTAGACAGTGAAACCTAATGCAATACTGCAAGCAACACTTCTACATACAACTGAAACTATTAAGTGCTGTTGGTTATCACTATTAGAAGAATGCTGTTTGCTCTATATCGCCTCATTTTCTTTACTTCTTCAGTCCGTCATTGAATCCCAAGAATTCAGCTTCTTAAATGTGAATATTTGGTGCTTTTCTTTGTCTTTTATGATAAAAAAACTGAACACTATTTGGGTTTTGTTGAAAGTTGAGGGAATAATCGTCACGCTAATCATCATGACAATACTTAGTTGCAGCCATGGTCTACGTTTTATTGACCGTGTGTCGCTTGTCGGTTGGTAAAGCAAACGCATAACATTTCAAATTTAAGTCAAACACGTGAAGAGCAGGAAAAAAATTAGTGGTTTCCTGCTCTTGTAGTTTGTGGTGCTGAAATGCTGACCAGCTCACTGTCAGCGTTGTTGTGGTCACAAACTGCGATTTAAGTGCTACTAGAACTAGCAAAAATACCTGCTGTGCTGCCTCAGCGATATTACGTCTACTTGCATATAAATCCTGTAGATATTGTGTCTGTAAATAGTGTTTTTCAATAAAAATATGGAATTTTACAATCTGTTTTTAAGATAAATAGTAAAAAATCTCACATTCAGGAGCACTTAACCTTCCAGTTGTATTCCTATCTGTATTCTGAAGGTTTTTATAGAAGGATTTCTTCATACATCATTCATAGTCTGATTTATATCTCATTTTATTCCTAAAAACATGCTGTAAAATAGATGCTGTTGATAGTATTCTGATTCATAGAGTGATAAAAAGAGAGTGCAGGCTATACGCCGACATAAGGTGTACCTATTTTTAGTCAGCATTGTGTATAATTACTTTTAAATTACCTATTATTTGCATAATGTTCTGTGAGCTGTGAGCGTTTTAACCCTGGGATGGTGACATACAGTAGCTGTCCAAGGAATAAGGATAATATAGTGTGTGATTTTAATGCAGTTATCTCAACCTGCATTGCACCCTAGCCTATAGGCCAGTATTGATTGCAACATCTGCACCTTTTTCTGTGGCTAATGTTCATTTCGTAATGCCTGAACCCAAACCGCAGATGTTAAGACATAATGTGCGAATACTACTGGCCCATTTTCCTGTGAGTTACATATGCAAGATTTCCCCAAAATCTGGGGCATAAATTAAGAGTTGACCCACTTCTTCAGGCACAGATATGGTGTGGGTTATAAAAATAATAGATACAAATAAATAGCACAAGAGAAACAAGAGACCAAGCCCTGTAATAACTTCCTGTAATAACTGAGAATTTATATATCGGGTCGCCTAATAAACATAAAGCAGAAGTCAAAGAGATTACTGAACCAAACAGCCATTACTTTGACACAGAATGGTTTCATTAATGCACATTACACAATATATATATATATATTAATACAATATAGGAAGGTTACCGCTTCTAGTTTGCACTCACGGCACGCAATAAATACAAAACCTAACAGCATGAAGTCCTCAAAGAGTCCTCTTGTTGCTGTTATCATGTAAATGTTGATTTAAACACGAGAGGTGTGAGTTAGAGATTAATGATGAGATAAGAAAAATATCCTCATTCTCACAGGAACAGCAGGCGTACTCAAACTGTGCTTGATTTCCCTGTTAGTTATTTTATGTAGCTAAACACTTAATCAGCAGCGACTGGAATGAGAACAAAGCTGCTTCTTTAAAGTGTTCATTCATTACTAAACCTTAAAATCCCCTTAAAGTTTTCATGTAAAGACTGAGTTAAAGTGTGTGTTGAGACTGGAACGAAGCTGTTTCTTATAGTTATTAATGTGTTCATGGAACAAACATTCATTTCTAAACATTAAAACCCCTTTTATGTCCTAAAATCATCAGGTAGAAATGTGAATTTTTTAAGTATAGTGACTATAATTGTTTAATAGAGTGGTTCCCCAGCCTTAATTAGTTTACCCATACAGCCCTGTCGGATGGACTGAAGTAGCCCTTCATTAACACCCCCCATCATGCTCCTAATATGTACATTTGAATTATTTAACTGATTAAACTATCGGTCGGTTTGGTATTGGAGTGGAAGAAGCTGAATGTTTCAATCACTTATCCATCCTGTTTCACTTTTTATCCATTTTAGCTAACTATTTCAACTGTTAAATCGTGACCTTGAGCTTACAGTTTCAAGTGTTTTATCCGTTAGTTTTAGCTAATTGTTTTCAACTGACTTTTAGCTGTTTTACTTTTTAGCTCTTAACTAAACTATTTCAACTGTTAATCCGTAACTTGTAGCTTACAACTGACGACTTTTAGGCATTTCACTTTTTATGTTATTTTTAGCTAACTATGTCAACTGTTAATCCACGACTTTTGTCTAACTATTTCAACAATTTATTCATTATATTTATTTGTTACTTCGTGTTTCATCCATTAGATTTAGCTAATTGTTTCAACTGTTTTACGTTTATCTCTTTTCCAGTACTTTAAGCCAACTGTTTCAACCATTTATCCATTACTCTTAGTTAAAACTGATGGATAAAACACTTGAAACTGTTAGCTAACTATTTCAACTGTTAAATCGGGACTTTTACGTTAACTGTTTCAACCATTTATCCATTACTTTTAGCTAGCGTAACTGAGTCAGATTTTTTTTTTACCTTAAAATAACAGCTTCAACATCATTTCGATGCTATATGTAACTTTGGTTTCCGGGTCGGGAGTTTGCATGACGTTTTATTTTAAGTAACACGCCGCTAATTTCAGTGAAACTGGTTTATATTTTATGGAGTAAACGTTTTCTGGTTTTCCCTCTGATGTCCTTCGGTGGCTCCACCTCAACCCTGAGGGACAGAAAGCTTTACTTGTTGCTAAAAGTAGCTCAGTAAGCTCAGTTACCGTACTGGGAGCTCATTGGACCACCATAGGGACAGTGAGTATCATGCAGTATTTACCATTGTATCTTCTCCTAATGGGTACATTGATTCAAAGAAGAAACTTATAATCTTGCAAAGCGCTCTACAGCTGCATGAGTAGAAGAAGAGAAGCGATGTTTTTGTCACCACATCCTTCACTCCGTAACCACAAACAGAGGGAAGGTTTTACTCACGTCTGTGGGAAAATCACCAAATGTAACAGCCAAGATACAGTACAACTGTCATGGGACTCAAATCCTGCCTGTAGCTTTAATTTCATTCCTTTTTGATCCTAGTTTTAGAAGTTTAACTCTTTTAACTAAATTACATTTACAGTAATGGCGTGCTGACCTCTGCATTCCTGTGTGTGTGTGTGTGTAGGTAAACAGTAGCAGATGAGGAAGTGGCATTTGTGACTCTTCCTAATTTAAAAATAGATTAAAAATGTTTTTTTTCCAGTTCCTTTACTCTCCAAAGGTAATTTCCATGTTCTACATGATACCAAGGACTTGTAACCCAATAGCTGCATCACATATGACTGCATGGTGGTTAATTCCAGGAACTTAGGTGTTAAACAGTTAAACAGCCAGAATATAATAACCAATAAGCATTTAACATCTTGTTCCCTTCAGTCATATCCCCCTAATGAAACCAAACAGAGGGCTATTGTGTGAGAAATATATAAAATCAGCCTTACCTGTCCCGCCTGTACATTGAATATTAATTAATGTTGTGTTTTGGAACTGAAAAAAACACACTTAACAGTGTTTTATCGCCACTTTAATGAACTTTTTATAGAAATACGCAACAGAAAATGACACATTAGCTCTGTTTGGGGTCTCAGCTGTAAAGTATGGTAAATACTAATGTCATTATGTAGGATAAATGCTGTTAATTTCTTTGTGCGTGAAAAACTTTTTCATCAATAAAAGGAATATATATTTCCAGTTTAACATAAAAGATTCCTAATATAGTGTAATAAAAATAATTTATGGTGGTTTCTGTGTTAATAAGGTCAGAAGAGAAGAAATAATATATTTAAAGGAACAAAATTAGTTGATTTTCAGATTATTATTATTATTATTATTATTATTATTATTACTACAAATACAATATCTTAATCTTATGTCTTTAACATTTATATATTTAATGTGCTAGTTTATTAAATGTTAATTTCTTTACTGTCTTATAGTTTTAAAACAATAGTTTGACATCACTTTCTTGCAGAGAGTTGTATGTTATGTGCTGAAATAGCTTCATATTTAATGTAATTTACTCATCAAGAAAACAAATAAACATATTTCCCCTCAAATTTCCCCTTTAATAGTTCATCAGTAGCTTGTAAAACACTTTAAACACATTCATTTGTATGAAAGATGTCGTGTACATAAAGTTTTTGGAGAGAGATTTCTGTTTTAAGGCAAAATTATTATTTTAAATTGGCCGTGTCATTGACTCTCTTCACTTTGAGCCGTTTTGAAATCATCTTGTGACTTCCTAAAGATGATCGCGTGACACTCCCCAAACCACAGTTGGTGACTATCACTCTATAAACAGCGTTATCTCATCAGCATGTTGACACCTCGGAGAGAGAAGCGTCTCTGCTCTCAGAGATGAGATTTTATATCTAACAGACACTTTGTTTTTATGAAAATCATAATTTTTTAAAAACATTTTCTGGAGATTTTAAACCTCATGTTGAAGAGTTGAGGATTTAAACTGTTTTTCTTTCTCCCCGCGTAGAAACACTTGGACTCTCTGATCGTCCCTTCGCACATTTTCTTCGTTTTCTGAACCTTTCTGAGACGTCAGCCGGTGCCGATGGAAGCCAGAGGGAAGTACGATTTTAACGCAACAGCGGACGACGAGCTCAGCTTCAGAAAGGGCGATATCCTAAAGGTCAGCATGTGTTCGGAGGATTTTCTCGATGTGGTTTTAAAATCTTGTTACCGTATGGATGACGGCTTTACTTTTTCTTGGTCAGATTATAAGCTCACAGGATGAGTGGTACAAAGCAGAGATGAACGGAATGGAGGGATTCGTACCTCAGAACTACATCGACATGCAGAGTCCGAGGTGAGAGAAGAGAGTTCGTTAGTTTAATCCTCACTCAGACTTTATTAAATACACATTGTTTGACACACGTTGACTGTATGTAAAGATGGACGACATGACAGTGGTCTCGATGGCTCCCTGGTGGATGGCTGCAGTATAGGTCATAAACTCCTTCTATGTTAGCAGATGGGACCAAACACTAGGTAGTATCATTTCTGGTAGTTCTTATCACACTGAGGTTTGTTCAAGTGTTATTTTTTCAGATCAATTTGGTTTTAATTTGTTATTTGATGCTATAAAAAGTAGATAAATCGTTTGGCTGATGCTTGTGGAAATATATTGGTTTAAGTTTATCCAGTAGAGGGCGCTGTGAGTAGGAGAGAAGGAGCAGCTCTCAGCAACGTCAACTAGAATCAGTTGACAATGTTAAATACTTTGTTAAATAATATTTTAACTTATAATTTTATACATTTTTTAGCTACCTTCTGAGGACCTTTTGCATCATGTTATCTATTTTCAGTCCAGCTCAAACATTCACTATATCAGCCTCCATATCAGTAATCTAAAAATCACATATTGGCCGGGCTTTTATAAAAAGGGGGTTTCACATCATGATTGACAGCAGAGATCTGCTCTCAATTGAGTCGACCGGGTGTCCTTAATACCGCTGATCCGACCCCGATCACAACATGCATCTGTATCTGGATATTTTCTGTCCAGTTGGAAAAAGAAGGAGACACATCTTTATATACAGTCTATGGTGTGAACCATTTTAACATCCCAACAACATCCCAAAACCACAGCAAGAACAATTGAACCGTGCAACAGGACTCCAGATAAAACAACAATATAAACACATGTATTTTATGATGTTTGTGCCTCTGTGACTTTGGTTCAGCACCACTTCAATCAATCAAAAAATGGTCAAGAACAGGAAGATTTTATTCTAGGTTTGTCCTTTCAAGATGTCTTTGAGGAGACTGTACTGTAAGTCATGTGAAACTACCTGTAGGTGTGTGTGTGGTTTACATCAGAGAAGCGGCAGCATTATATCCTGTTTCTCTGTCTGTCTGTGTGTGTCTGTCTGTGTGTGTCTGTCTGTGTGTGTCTGTCTGTGTGTGTCCAGGTGGTTTCAGGAGAACGCCAGTCGCAACAATGCAGAGGAACTCCTGAGACACCAAAGCGTGGGAGACTTTGTGATCCGAGGCTGCCAGAGTTCCCCCGGAGACTTCTCCATCTCTGTCAAGTGAGTGAAAATCTGTCTGTAAGTCTGTCTGCACGCGCAATTCATAAATATACCTCAATGGTCTCTGATCACTGCTCTGTATTGATCACTTATCCTGAAGAAAAAGCCTGTGCTGGATTTCTTAAATTCCCAAGATCGTTAGTAAAATGATTTCTTTCTTTGGTGTCTTGTTAAACATATCAATTAAAAAATCCTGGAAATTGATCTTTTATGAGTTTTATGTTTATGAAGTGAGAATATTGTAGAGAGGAGGTTGATAGTTGGTTAAAATATAACATAAATAAACATAAAGTCTGTCTATTAGCTACCTCGTAAAGGTTGTAATGGTGATCAGTTCAGTTGGAGATAAAAAGAGGATTCATTGGATACGTTAGCTTCATCTCCAAATGTTGGTTTCTGACTAACTTTACTGCCTTCTGTAACTTATCAACCAGAAGGATGGATGTTAATCTGTAACTAGCTGGTATGCTACCCGTTAGTTGTAGTGTCTGATCAGATACTGTGAGAGCCGACATGAAAAGGATGAGATGATCAACTCGCAGTCAGAAACAATCTCAATTTAACAGAACTGATTTCAGAGAGATTGACATTTAAAGCTTTAATATGTAACATTCCACATTAAACAGTGTATAAACTGTTATATATGTAGTTGAGTTGTGTTCTTAGATTATCACAAATGTTTCCAACAATGTTCAAACTCTGTCATTTTATTCAGGTAACGCTGCGTTTCATCGGTTGCCTGTCGATGGTGTCATATCCCCTTTGTGCCTGCGTCAGCGTTGTGGTTGTCTGCCAGAAGCTGTCACACATTGACTGTTTATCCAGTCTGAAGCCACATTTTTAGCATGCCCACGTTTAGATCTGGTGCCTTTTAACTCTATGATTTGAACGGATGAAGGATTTTAGTCATCGACGGTCTGGATCTTAAGTTATCAGAAAAACAAGCCTGAGCCTAAGCGTTAGCAGCAGCTCGGCTCGCAGCCCCTCCAGGACGTCCTTTGTCTGTCCAACAGCGTGGGAGAAGCAGTGATTTTTAGGGTGGAACTGCTTTATGCAGTGTTTTTACCTCTTCTTAAACTCCCATGATTCCACGCTACTTCACCAAATCATCAAACTTCGTCATTTTGTTTTGATGTGAGTGGTATAAATTACATATTGTACGTTAAAACAACACACCCACTTATTAAAACGATATCTCATTTACAGTATTAATAATCTAAGTCTTGATCAGGTGGTTTTTAACACATAAACGTGTGGTTAAAATCAGTTAAACTGTCAGTAAACTGATATTTCCCCCCCACGCCCATCTATATATATATATAAGTAAACTCTGACTCATCGTCTCAGCCTCCTGGCGTCTCTGATGCTCTGCAAACTCTTGCAAGACTTAGATATATTTACGACAGCTGCAGAGGTAGAGTAAACAAGGCCGAGGCAGCAACATGAGGTTCACTTAGTTTACCTTTAGTTCAAACTGCACACTGTAGAGCAGGCCAAGCTTTCTTTAACTCTATCCTCTGCTCCTGGTGAGGACCTCCATTATGCCTGTTATTCTGTTTCAGTAAGCTCTGATGTTGTAGTTCTGTACGTTGACCAGCAGAGGACGATCCAGCCGAGGCAACAGCCTCTGGAATGTCGGATCAGCGGGAGCCTCCAGTAGTTCAGGTCCAGCTAATGTAACTCCTGTGTGCGTGCTTTCTCACCGCAGACATGAGAGCGATGTTCAACACTTCAAAGTGATGAGAGACAACAAAGGCCAGTACTTCCTGTGGTCTGAGAAGTTCACCTCCCTAAACAAGCTGGTGGAGTTCTACAAGAACACCTCCATCTCTAAAACCAGGGAGATCTACCTCAACGATGGCAGCTCGGACAGCAAGAGCCCCTCCACGGCCCAGTCGGTAAGAGACATTAATTGATAGTGGGAGAGAGAGGGAGAGGGGGGATGACACGCAGCAAAGGTCACAAGTCGGAGTTGAACCCATGGCTGCTGCAGTAAAGTACATGGGGCACCAGCTCTACCAGGTGAGCTACCAGGATGCTTATATATTTTACATATTTTGAGGTCTAAATAGGTGCAGATGTAGAAAAAATACAGCGGTGTAGTGACGGGTTTAACCACTAAATGACCTCTGATATAGGGGAGCGTTCTGCTGGCTGAATTCCTTTCCTAGGATGGGGAAGGCGTGATATAGTGGAGTAAGGAATCAGGAATACTTATACACTCAAAATGCGCAGTTGTTTTCTCACCCGTCTGTGGGCCGGTATTGATTGCAAACTCTTCACCTTCTCTGTTGCTAACGTTCATTTCATAACGGTCCTTACTGCCTGAAGTCAAGCAGCAGAAGTTAAGTGACAATGTGCAAGTTGTCTTAACATGTCACTGTTTATAACACAGACAGACCTCACTTCAACACTGCAGAAATACACAAATTTTTAACCAGTAAAAGTACTGATTCTTTACTCAAGT